TTGGCGGGGCACTGGGCAGGTGAAGTAGAGTTTAGTAGAGTTTTTTAAATATAAAAAACGTCTTTTTGAATGTGGGGTTTGGTTATTTTGGAATGATAAGTGCTGGCAGACGTGATGTCATTTATGGATGACCCCCCGAAACCCACAGTTATCTAACTAGATATGGCTAGTTTAGTATACACTTAAAAGTTTTAGCTGAGTATTCCAAAATATGGAAGAAGATTATGAATTCATTATTTATTGGGCATAAAATATAATATTTTATGAATGGTGGAAAACCTACGAGGGGGTTAATTTTTCAAGATTTTCCCACCATTTTGATAGTGGAAATGCATATGCCGATGTATTTTAATAAAGCTGTAAAGAAATAACTGTTATCTAACAGTTAAAAAAAAAGTTTTTTTGCTGGAGCCTCCCCCCTTAAAAACTGTTTTACTTATCAAGGCGAAAACATTGACTACGGCTAAATTCCAACGAATTCACAACTCAAATGTTTTAATGGGTGAAACTTTGGGGCGGGGAGACAGTTGAGGGACATGTCGGGTGTGTGTGTGGGGGGGGGTAGATGCCATGCCATGCAATAGAGTCTCATCCGTCTCTCATGGCCTGTTTGGCAATTCCCATAGTGCAATTAATACGGGTGAGAGTGTGCCTTAAACGAGAAATGTTTCGCATTTTTTAAAATCTCTAAGCCACTCGGTCAAAAGGTCAATACTTAAAAAAAAAACACTTCTACATCGGTCCGAGTCTAACCATCCACTTTGCTATGTCAGACCCTCCCTACAACTGGGACGTTTTTCCCCCCATGTAACACATACTCTCGAAACAAATTGTCTACCGTCAAGTTTACACCGTCCTTATTAGTCTCTACCAGTCTAGTTTTATTTTTATCTATATAGGCCTACGTTATGGCAATACGCAAACAGCCCCTCATACAAATACCCCCACCCCCACCCTCCCTCAGCCTCGACACTATGTATTTTTAATGGTTTTCAAAACATTTTATATCGGTAGGCCTAACGATGTCAGGTAGAGATACTGCTGGTTAAATAAGGCAAAATTAAACATAAAAGATCAGAGAGTATCTGATAGATCTCGCTGGTCTCGGCACATTCACTGATAAAGCTATTATTTAAGTGATGCTTGTTAATACTTGATGAAATTTTAACTCATACTTCTGACATTAAAAAAATAGTTTAACTAAGCTATTAAAAACCAATGATAAATTAATATTTGCTATAGTTGAGAAAACAAAATTTGGGGGCTCCTAAAATTCGGGGCCCCTGGCTGCAGCCCTTTCAGCACCCCCCCCCCTTAATCCGCCACTGCAATAGATACTAAAGTGACCCACGCTTTTCTTTATAGTTATTTAAATAGTAGTCTATAATTTATTTTCTCCTTTTTAGTGCATTATTACATAAACGCTTGTTATTAAAAAGTTTTTTTTTTAATTTTTACTTTCTCTTATATACGAAGTATAGAGAAAGTATTGTAATCGTGCAAAAAAACATTCGAGCTTTTGCAAATTTCGACGTTTGACACCTCCCTGAGTTGGAAAAACATAATTTTGCAATCTTGTCCGTATGTCTCTGTGCGTGTGTGTATGTGTGTGTGTGTGTCTTTAAACACGATAACTTGAGTACCGTTACAGCTAGGTTGATGAAATTTCATATATAAGTATTATATCAAAATCGTGGATCCGTATCAACTTTGAGCTATTTCCGATAACCGGAAGTGGAACATTTTCCACTTTGAATTTTTCAAAAGCCCATAACTTGAGTACTATTTCAGATAGATAAATGAAATTTTACATGTAAGTAAAAGATCTAATTCTCTGCTTTCTAACAAATTTTGAGTAATTTCCGTTGACCGTAATTTACGCTATTTCCGATTTCTCAAAAAAAAAAAAAACGCATGTGAATTTATAAAGTACTAATAATATCCCGCACTATTATGCACATTTTATATGGCATTCACTTGGTGTGCAATTCTTTTTCTACGAGATTCCTTTCTATTATAAAAAGTTTAGTTAATTAAAAATGGATAAAAAATATTGTCTATGTCCCGAGTTGCCATCCCCCGTAGTGTTATATTAGAATATTCGAGAAAGTTTAGGGGAGATCATTTCCGGTTTATTTTACAAGCTTTTAACTTTTATTAAACTCACTTCCTCTGTCGTCAGTCTAGATCGAAACGCCCGAGCTAATTTGGGACACTTCTAGCTTCTTCCTAAACATTAGTAAACGTACCCAATAGATACTAAAGTAACCCACGTTTTTCTTTATAGTTATTTAAATAGTAGTATTTTCTACTTTTTGGTGCACTATTACATAAAAGCTTGTTATTAAAAGTTTTTTAATGGATTTTTAAAAATTACGTGTCAGCGATTACCGATAACCGGAAGTGGGACTTATTCTACTTTTAGTTTTTCAAAAGCCTATAACTTGAGTACTGTTCACTATTATACACAGATTGTTTGCCATTCTCTTTGTGCGCATTTTTTTCCCTACGAGATTCTAATCTATTTTTAAAAGTTTATGTAATTAAAAGTCATGTCTATATCCCGAGTTGCCATCCCCCGTCGTGATATATAAGAATATTCAAGAAAGTTTAGGGGAGATCACTACCGGTTTATTTAATTAGCTACTACTTTTCGAGATTATTTTTAACATAATGATAAGGTATGGGTTAGATCACTATATTGCTCACACACGTCTTTATTTCGTAACTGCAAAAACAAGTTTCATATAGCACTAACTGTTTTAAAAGCTATTATTCTTATTGCAAAATAAACAACTATAGTTATTCTTTATTCATCTTTTGGAGGCAGTTTTACTTTTAGGGGTCATCCATAAATGACGTCACGCTTTTTTGGACGATTTTTACCTCCCCCCCTCCCCTCCGTCACAAAAAGCCAGACCCCCCCCCCCCTAAAATGACGTCACACCTCAACCTTCAACCCCCCCCCCCTCAAAATTGCAGTTGAATTTTTTTTAAACATAGATATTTTTCCAAAATCTTGTCTAAACTATTACAATTTATTAAAACAGTTATCTAAAACGCGAAATAACGTCTAAAATTCGTTTTCTAACATTGCTTTTTAGCGCAATTTCCTTACTGGGGGATTGCGATTATTAACTCGTCATTTCTGGATGGATGTATGGATGTGTGTCCGCAGCTTTAAGTCGTCTTAAAGTCGTATCTCCTCCTCAACGAAGCAATATCGAGGACTAGTTCCAAAAGCAAATATGTTAAGCACGTTCCGAGGATGAACATATGCCAAAAAAAATATTCCCGGAATTCCTTCCTGGATTTCCCGGAAAAGCCAAAAAAACTCGAAAAAATGAAGTTTTTGGCCCATATCTCGACAACCAGACCACTTAGCGACTTGAAACATTTACCATTCGATTCCTGACATAATTTAGAACAATATTGCCGAAGAAAGTTTTCAAAAATATCCTTTCGTTCGTTCACAAAAAATTAATTTCTTCTAATTTGCATTGGCTAAGATTACTAAGAATATACAAATATTTCTAGAAGAAGCGAAGCGGTGAAGTTCCAAACCAAGCACACCGGCTGAGGCAGTCGCTAGTAAGAGGTAACGTCTACTTGTAACACGCTGCCATTGGCCAGACTCGCGCAGATCTCGCGAGGGGGCGGGGACTAGCTCTGCTCGTCTGGTTTTTAATTTAAACTGAGCATTGTGTAGGTTTCTAGCGCAAAGCGCTGAGGTTCGAAAGGATTTTACCATAGCGAATGAGCGGATGTTCGAAAGGATTTTTACGTAGGTCTGTGAATTCTAAAAAAAATTAATTAAGGAAATTGCGCTTAAATTGTCACTAGACTTTTTATTAACTTGTTTATAATGCAAAATGTGACGTCGCAACATCTGACCCCTCCCCTCCCCCTCATCACACATCGTCACAAAATTACGGACCCCCTCCACCTACGAGTGTGATGTCATTTATGAATGACCCCTTATCCACTGTGTTTTTCTATTGTTTTAACTAAATTTACCCGATGTAATTAAGTATGTGTTCGTTAAAGTACACCTGTATTGCTGATCATCTGACTCATACTGACGTTGTGTGAGAATGTGTTTATTTTTTCAGTACATTTATTCAGCTTCTCTCTCTCTCTCCCCCCTCCATATATTTGCAAATAGTTTTTAACACAATATACTTAAAAATATATGCATCTGTAAAGGACCTGCAGTTTCCCTTCCTGCTAGTATTGACAAATATTATCAGAGATAGGCAAAATCGTATTCTATGGGGCACAGTTTATGTAAAAATTACACTAAGTTTCTAGATTGATTTTAAAATCCAAAGTTAATATAGGCCTCCCGTATAAAAGAGGGATGACTGAATTAAGCCTGACTTCTTTTAAGCAAAGGCTACACTTGTAAATTAAGATCGATCTGTAGGCGTTTGACGGTCTTATGAACCAGGAATAACGCAAACAGCAGATGTACATGCGCTAAAATGGACAGACTTTGAGACAAAACAGCTCGTCGCACATGCCTGGCGCTGAGCTAGGCGCCGATACCTTAGGTAAGCCAAGAAGTAGGCTATGATATAGACTATACTATTGATCTAGATATTCTACTTGCGATGAGTTGTTAAAAATATATTTAGTATTTAGGGTACATAGCATCACAGTTTTTAATTGGTTTCAGTAATGTTTTTGCTGTTGGTGTTGCTTTTGATTGTGTGTATTTGTTGCGGAACTTATTTTAAATTTTATTTAATTAATCTCAGAAAAAGGCGCCACTATCATTAAAATGGCCGTGAGGAAAACTGCTGCCCACGCCCTTCCTTGCGTACGCTACTGTGGTGAAGGTAATAAACGTGAAAAAAAACATGAAGTCATTTATGGATGACCTATTTGATTTTATAACATGCACAGTTCAACAATTATTATGTTGATCTATGAATTTGAACTAGATCTATGTTGTGATTATTACCGATTACCTTAATAAATTATAATATAGATTCTACCTGCATCAATTCTGCCTTTGATTAGACATTTCCCGTTAATTTCATTGACTATGCTACATTATAAAGGCTGCTTATGGTTTTAGTTTTGCAAAAACAATGTTATCAGGTAAGATATAAACCTTATTAACATACAATCTAACATTTAGTCTAACTAACTTCCATTTTTCAAGCTGCAGAAATATCTAAAACAGCGGATACTGGATTTATTACAAACATGTGGCTAAATTTAGACTGCTTAGAGACACGTCAACCTAAATGCAGAAAATCGAGATAGGCTAGATCTATATTCTCCTTGTAGATTTTCCCGACACGTAACATAACCGGAATTTCAAATTCAATAGTCTTCACTATAGAAAAAAGTAAGTTATTATAGCTATAGCCAAAATTAAATAACAATTTATTTTTTAAAAAATCTACAAATACGGGAGGTATTATTATCTAATTCTAGAATAATCTAGCTAGATCTACCTAGACTGTCCTAGACTCCTAGACCCATCATCATCAACGCATATTCTACATTTTGTGCCATTGTTGATAATTTGATAATAATGAATATATGAATACTACACTAGAGGAGTAGAATAGACTAGGCCTACTACTGGAAGAGTAGATCTAGATCTATCTAGATTTCTATTTGATAGATCTAGCTAGAGGTTTCCTATTTAGTAACTATTTACTATTTGCAATGGATTATTAGAATATTATATAATGTTACTTAAAGTTGAAGTAACTTTTAGTTTATCTTAGCTACACAAGTAGATCTAGAGATCTAGAGTTGTTACAGTCTAGTCTAGATCTAATCGAAACAATTTTTATATACGTTTTTACCAAACCCCGATCGTCCTATTTTCGTCTAAGGGGAATTCCACATTTTAAAATACTAATTCTACTTATTTCCGAAACACGTATTAAGCTAGAATCCGAAAAACAAGATAAATTTAACTTTCTAAAACCTGTCAACTGTAACACACAGTTGACAGTTGTCCCCCCCCCCCCCTCAAAAAAAAACAACAACAAATAAACCGGGAGTGATCTCCCCTAAACTTTCTCGAATATTCTTATATAAAATAACAGGGGGTGGGAACTCGGGCTATAGACATGATTTTTAATACATTTTAAATACTTAAAGTTTTAAAAATAGAATAAAATCTCATAGACAAATTAATTGCACACCAAGTGAACACCAAATAAAAAAGCGCATAATAGTGCGCAATATTATTAGTACTTTTAAAATTTACATTAGTTTTTTGAGAAATCGGAAGTAGCGTAAAGTACTACTCCAGTCAACGGAAATTACTCTAAATTTAACAGAAGGTAGAGAATTAGATCTTTTACTTACATGTGAAATTTCATTTATCTATCTGAAATAGTACTCAAGTTATAGGCTTTTGAAAAATTCAAAGTAGGAAAAGTACCACTTCCGGTTATCGGAAATCGCTCAAAAGTTGATACGGATCAACAATTTTGATAAAATACTTATATATGAAATTTCATCAACCTAGCTGTAACGGTACTCAAGTTATCGTGTTTACACACGGACAGACAGACAGACAGACAGACACACGGACAAGATTGCAAAATTATGTTTTTCCGTATCAGTGAGGTGTAAAACGTCGAGATTTGTAAAAATCTCGATTTTTTTTGCACGATTACAAGACTTTCTCTATACTTCGTATATACGAGAAAGTAAAAACTAAAAAAACCTTTCTATTTTAGCAGGCTCATAGACATATGAGAGATATGAAAACAATCCAGAAGAAAATCTTACATCTAAAATAAATTATTCTAAATCAAAGTCACAAAGACTAGTGACTTACTTAACTTACTTATAGATTTAATAGCGAAGGAACGTCAACAAAGGGTTAGAAAAAACAACAGAAAAAGGAACGACGATTTTATTTTTAGTTACATTTACCTTAATTACTGCATTATCTAGATCTAGATCATATTTCTATAAGAGCAAAGTGGATCCTGCCCGCTTGTTTACCACAGTTTGAAACTGAAAGTATCAGACAAAAGGCCGACTGGAAAAATGGCTGACTTAATTAACATAAGGTCGACATTTAAAAGGGCAACACACAATCTTATCTAACTATCTATCAATCCATACAGCCATCCGTTCATCCATCCAACGTCCGCCCGTCCATCCATCCATCCTGATCCATCCGTAAACGGGCTTTATATGACTTAAAAATAAATTGCCTTTTTGCGATTGGGGGGGGGGGGGGGCTACTAAATAGACACCGAAGTAAAATTAAAACAAAACGTAAGAAAGAAAACGTAGGCCTTTGGCCTTTTAGTTTAGACAGTTTTTAATATGCTGAAAATATTGTCTTCTGTAGGCTAATACAATAGTGTATTAAATTTCTTAATTATTATATTAATGCTTTAAAATTTTAAAACTACATAAGAAAAAATGGTAGGCCTAATGAATCTATCGTTTTAGGACATTTTAGGTGCGTACAATTCATTGTTAATGTTAAGGCTTTATTAATAGAAGTATGTTGTCACTTGTGATATATTTGTGTCACATATTATAGATCTAGATAACTGAATAATAAACCAAAATCAATGGCTAAATATAGATCTAGACTCTATATCAATATTTTGAATATAGAATCTAGGTCAGAAATTAACTTAAAACAGCAGTGTTTGCGAGCAAGATTTGCTATAGGCCCTAGACCAGGGGTTCCCAACCTTTTTTTACTCTAGAGCACATTCTAAAATATTGGTAGGGTGGCGGGCACCACCCCTTTCAGAGGCGTAGCGACCCTTCCCGTCATCCGGGGACAAAACTTTCGATTTGCACCCCCCCCCCCCTCAAACTTTCGATTTGCACCCCTCCCCCCCCCCCCAAAACTTTCGATGTCCATCCCCTTCAACCTTTGAATAATGTTTATGAAAAAAATTCTGTCTCTGTCGAATAGTGAGAGGCGGGCACATACGAATCGTTCGGCGGGCGCCTTGGCGCCCGCGGGCACGGGGTTGGGAACCCCTGCCCTAGACCTAGATCTATATTAAATTTTATATAAACAGCGGCCATCTGTAAGTTAGAGTGGTTTCCCCTAAACCCCTTTTACAAAAAGAAAAACTTAAACAAGATGGCTGCTATAGTAAAGTAAATGAGCTTGGTTGCATCTGATGAAAACATTGCTAGTCTTTATGACTTTATTTTTTTACTGAAAAATGTTTTAATACAATTGTTTAAAAACAGGTACATAATTTAATTAATGAAACGTTTTTGTAACTTTAAAAACATTAATCCTCCTAAAGATATGAAATAATAAATAATGGTAATCTATCGTTCGTTTGAATCGTTTTGGGTACGTAAAATCGCCCGTGGCTATTTAAAACTATTTATGTACGAAAACGTTACCTCATTGTCAAGGCTTTAATAGAAGTATATTGTCATACTTTTGTGTCAAATATTATAGATAAATGAATAATACACCTAAATCAATGGCTAAATATATCGATATAGGCCAGAAATGAACTTTAAACAGCAGTGTCTGAGAGCAAGATTTGCTACTATACAAACAGCAGCCATTTGTAAAATAGAGTGGCTTCCCCCTGAATCTGGCACTAAAAGCTTATAGAGTCCTTGCAAACACGTGACCTAAATCACGTGATACCTACGCCCGCCGCCACAGTGGTGTACATCAGACGTAAACACAATCAGCTGTTCGCCAGCGCTGGACGTGTTCACCAGTGCTGGGCACTGGACGTGTTCACCGTATGTAAAGAATCGCGCCCGCGGAAAAGGAAAAATATGTTAAAAAACTTGAACTCTTAGGAATTGAAGATCCTTATACAGTTATTGACAGTTTCGTGGATAATATAAATATGTGGCCGAAATTTCTAAATAAAAATACTGTTAGTAATACCGTTTGCGTTTAGAGTTTAAGTAGACGAAGCTGATTAAATGCAGTAATATATTATAGGTTATCTACTGTAGCAAACGTGAGACCACTTAATTCCTACAAAACCCACACTACAACGGCTAATATAATCCATGGGTAATAACCAATCTGGGTAGCATGTTATACAATTTAAGACCCTTATAATCCAGCAGGGAAGTAATCAGACACATTAATACTGACGTTCAACCCTCATGATTTCCAGCCGCCACCTGTATCTAGCCCACAATAAAACCAAAGAGGAGTCTGCCCTGCCCTCCCCTGAAAATGTCTCACCTCCGTGATACCATCGATACCCAGCCCCACAGAGATAGTATTTCTTATATAATTTGACCCTCAGGGCCCAGCAGGGAGAACAAAGGGGAAAGTCCCACTGCTCTCCCATCAACATTTCTCACCTCGATGTCATGTTATGTCATTTATAGCACACATGGCTTATCAGGGGAAAGCATTAAGGCATTAAGAATCTTAACTCTGGACAGCTACACACTAGTATACTAGCTACACACTAGGTGCCTACTGTAAACTACTAGACTGTAGGCCCTATGTAGACCTGCAATTGTATCAATTGTAGACTGGGTCCATTGTTATTATTCTAAACCATCTCACTTAAAATGTTTCTAGCTTGATTTGTTTCTTTTATAAACAGTGGATTTAAAAAAAAAATTAGCCTAATCATTAACCAAATAATAATAATGTGGTTATTTGTTGTTGGCTGGTATGATCTAGATTGTACTACTAGGCTACAAAAACTTAGTAGACCAATTACTAGATATGAATTTGAATTTAATTAAACTCAGTCCAATATCAGATACATATTGCTGTAAAAAGACAACAAAGTAGGTAGGCCTTAGTAATTTATTAAAGCCTTCTACTACAATAATATCAACTACATGCTTGTATAAAGTTTTTACAATTTAATTTAAGTAGCAGATTCTAGATCTAAGTCTAGTCATACAATCTATTTCAATTTCAGAAAATTTCGTTTGCTAAAAAAATGATTAGATTATAGAGCGAGATTTTAGATCTTAGAGACAATTAAATGCTTTATTAGGTCTATTATGACTACTTTTGATTTATTATGGGTGTATTTTGAATCGAATGTAGATCTAAAGTAATTAAATTTAAGTAAAGAAGTAGATTCTAGAATCTACCCAGCGGAGCCAGGTATTAGGCCTACTATTAGATCTTATTATTCTTATTATTACTTTTGACTTTGTCTTTTACTATTAGTATTTGTGAAGGTCGAGCATATTTGTTTTATTAATAGTTATCTTTTATAATTAAAATGTATGAAGTTTATTATTTTACCTGAAACAAAGTATCGAGAACTGCATTTGATCAGATTCGGCTACTTTAACTCTAAACGCAAACAGTATTACTAACACTATTTTTATTTATTTTTATTTAGAAATTTTGTCCACATATTTATATTATCTACGAAACTGTCAATAACAGTATAAGGATCTTCAATTCCTAAGAGTTCAAGTTTTTTAACGTATTTTTCCTTTTCCGCGGGCGCGATTCTTTACATACGGTGAACACGTCCAGCGTTGGTGAACACGTCCAGCGCTGGCGAACAGCTGATTGTGTTTACGTCTGGTGTACACCACTGTGGCGGCGGGCGTAGGTATCACGAACGGACGTGACGTCATATGAAAGGACTCTATAAAAATAAAACTTAGACAAGATGGCTGCTATAGTAAATGAGCATGGTTGCATCTGTTGGAAACATCGCTAGTCTTCATTTATTACGGAAAAGTTTTAATTCAATTGTTTAAAAACAGGTACATAAATGAATCAAGGAAACATTTTTGAATTTTTTAAAACATAAATCCTCCTCAAAATGTGAAATAATTATTAAAATTTAAGGAGTCACCTGTTTTTCACATTACAAATTGCGGGCGATTTTACGTACCCAAAACGATAGATTACCGAAATAATTAGCCTACTAAAATTTATATTTAAACTTTAAAGTATTAGATTAGATTAGAATTAGATAGATTAGGCCTATTTTAAAGTAATTTACCTAATTAATTAATAATAAAGTCACCCTTTTTTCACATTACTAGACTAGATCTAGTCTCGGCGATTTTACGTACTAAAACGATAGATTACCGAAAAAATTAATAAAAAACGTTTAGATCTAGGCCAGTAAGTAAATTTCATTAAATGATTCACCCTTCTTTCACATTAAACTAGATCTAGATCTAGAATATAGATTATAATAGGCCTAATCATTAGGCCTATAGATAATATAGATAGGTTATACTATATTTATATACTATAGGCCCCTATATAATAAATATAAATAATAATAGGCCTATAGGCTATAGAGATAGATCTATTATATTGTTATACTCACTGTATATTAACTAGCCTAGGCCTATATGCCTAATCCTAATTCTATATTATAGTAGTTTAGTACTATAGGCCTATTACTTAAGTTTAAAGCAACTTTAAAGCCATAGGGTAAAGGAGGGCGTTAAGAGCCACACTTTTTAGCACCTGTACATTTTTAAAGATTTCTACTAATCTAAGAATTTTTTAGTATTGAAAATATGGCAAAATTATTCTAACATATCTTACACAATATAAAAATAATAACAAAGTGTATTAAATATACTTTAAATGGGTTTAATTGAACATTTATTGTCATACACCCAAAATCAGCATTTGGGGTGAAAGGAGCGGGCAATGGGGCAATAAGTATTATCTCCTAGTTTAGACTAACTCTGCAATAAAAATAATTAATTTCTAACCCCAAAATAGTTAATGCTGTGTACACACACTTTAACTGATACTAGCTATCACTAGGCCCCAATGGGCCCAGTCTACAACTGATACAATTGCAGGTGTACATAGGTCCTAAGCCCTAAAGTCTAGTAGTTTACAGTAGGCACATTAGTATGCCTAGTGTGTAGCTAGTATACTAGTGTGTAGCTGTCCAGAGTTAACATTCTTGCATGTAAAAAGGGGTGGTACTAACTAATCTGCCTAAATGCTTTCCCCTGATAAGCCATGTGTGCTATACATTACATAACATGACATGGAGGTGAGAAATGTTGAAGGGAGAGCAGTTGTACTGGTTTCCCCTTTTTTCTCCTTGCTGGACCCTGAGGGCTATAAATTACATAAGGAGATGCTATCTCTGGTTGGCTGAGATCTAAGAACTAAGTCCATGCTACCTACAAAGAGATAAGTTTTATGGTGGGTTAGATACAGGTGGGGGCTGGGTATCATGGGGGTGAGAAATTGTGAGGGGAGAGCAGTGGTACTGGTTTCCCCTTTTTTCTCCTTGCTGGACCCTGAGGGCCATAAATTACATAAGGAGATGCTATCTCTGGTTGGCTGAGATCTAAGAACTTAGTCCATGTTACCTACAAAGAGATGAAGTTTTATGGTGGGTTAGATTCAGGTGGGGGCTGGGTATCATGGGGGTGAGAAAATGTGAGGGGAGAGCAGTGGTACTGATTCCTCTTTGGTCTCCACCCTGCTAGACCATGAAGGTCATATATTACATAACATGCCACCCCAGATTGTCTGAGATCTGTAACTGTAATCCATGTTACCTACAAAGAGATGAAGTTTTATAGTGGGCCAGAAACTGGTGGAGGCTGGGTATCATGGGGGTAAGAAATTGTAAGGGGGGAGCAGTGGTATTAATGTGTCTGTTAACTTCCCTGCTGGACCATGAGGGTCATAAATTACATAACATACCACCCCAGATTGGCTGAGACCTAAGAGCATTTATTCCTGTTACCTAAAAAGAGATTAGAAGTTTTATGGTTGGTTAGTAACAGGTGGGGGCTGAGTCGGCTGTATTGCCCCTTAGGGGTGATAAGTACCTGTACCATTTTAAAAATTACTTTGCTAACATCAGATGGCTGAATTTTTACTTTTTAGCAGGTTAGAATTGTATTTCTATCATTTAGACACAAGTCTGTTTAACAATTAATACATTTTGTGTTAACTATTCCTATACCAGTGTCATATTCAGTGGTCTAATAAATGAGAAACTTGCACTTAGGGTTTCAAGAGCCACATAACAGTATCTGTTATAACTTTTCTAAACAGGCAAGCTAGTGGACAAAATTAATGTATTCATGTAGATTTAGATATTATCTAACAAATAAAACCATTATGGTAATGATCAGTCAAGTTTTACTCTGATAATGATAAAAACTTTATAGCATAGTAAAATGGGACAAATGTCGGCCATTTTGTTTTTTTTTTTGTTTAAAATGTACAACAACCAATGCTCTAATACAGGAACAAAGAATGGGCTTGAAAAACTCATTTGGTTTATTACAAAGCAAAGTTTCCCAAGTTATGTCTATTTGGAAAAAAAGTTCATAAAATGGTTTTATGGAGATGAGAAATTTTAGGGAAAGAGCAGTGGGATTAAATTCTGTCTCATCCTCTCCCTATTGGACCAAGTGGGTCATAAATTACATAAAATGAATCCTCTGCTTCTCTGTTATCAAAGAACAGCAGTGGTTGTTACCTTAGAAGTAGATTAGCAGTGTTATTGGGGGTTTAGTGGGGGTGGGGTGTTGATTGGGGCTTAATACCACACGGCTCTTAACGCCCTCCTTTACCCTACCCCCAAAATAATTAATTTCTAACCCCAAAATAGTTAATGCTGTGTAGTGTGTAGCAGGCCTACACACTTTAAAATTAAATGATACCACTATCACTAGAGTCTAGATCCCGTTGGACCCAGTAGACTATTTATGTGGAGAACAGAAAAAATACACAGGGAAGAAAGTAGAAAAAGTAATAGTTTTTGCTAGGAAAAGCGTCACAAAGGGAAAAAAAAATTCTGAAAAAACTCACAGAAATAAAGTCACAAAAAAGGTCACTAAAAATCTTGTAAGAAATATTTTGATTTCATTGTTGAGAATTGTAGAATTTTGAGTGTTTATTAATGTGGGCGGTGGTTTTTTTTAGAGCGTATTTATAAACTTTTAAAGCATCATGGTTTATACTATAGCAATAATAATAAGAAATACTATAAGATAAATTACACAGCAACCTAAATATTTATTACATATTTTGTTAAAAACGTAGATTTATTTAGGCACAGCGTTGTGTTTTGCTTAAGTTTTTGAACGTAGGCCTTTCCTAAGTTTTTGAACGTAGGCCTTTCCTTGGTCAGCTTCTCCTCTGTCAGCCTTGTCTGTCCATATATTGTGTGTTGTTGACGTTTTGCATCAATGACAGCCTTTTTGCATTGTTGGCTTTCTGTTTTGATCCTAAGCTTTGTAATGTAATTAGTGTGATAAATGTAGGCAGTACAGGTGGTTGAACTATTGTTGCGATCAGTTGAGGACAGCTAGTCACATTAGCTACATTTTATGCCATTTCACACTACTTTAAAGTTGGTAATTAAAAAACACGATGAAAACCAAGAACATTCTACTAAATTCTATTATATATATAAAATAATTAAAACCTACATACTTCATACTAAATATTTTTACGTATTTTAAATATAACAATACTTAAACAACCTACACACATATTTCTAAAATGTAGTTTATATTAAATTTAATTAATTGTAAGTTGATTTACACTTAATACATAAAAGTATTAATTTAACAAAGTCCATGTAAATACATATTTATGACTTTTTCCCCCTGTGACATTTTTTCCTACAATCATTTATGTAGGTCTACATAGGGCCTACAGTCTTGTAGTTACATAACATGACATGGAGGTGAGAAATGAGGGGAGAGCAGTAATACTGATTTCCCCTTGTTCTCCCTGCTGGACCCAGAGAGTCATAAATTACATAAGAGATGCTATCTCTGGTTGGCTGAGATCTAAGAGCAGCAATCCATGTTACCTACAAAGGAATTAAAAGTTGGTCATGGTGGTTTTATTGCATTTGAGGCATCCAGAGCTACATATGAGTAAATGTTGTAACTTTTCTGAAAATGCAAGCTAGTGGATTAAATTAATTTATTCATGTACATTTAGTTTTTACCCAACAAATATAATCATTTTTATTGATCAGTCAAGTTTTATTCTGAGAATGATATAAACTTTATAGCATGGTAAAACCACAAAAATGTCGGCCATTTTGTTTTGGTATCAACAATCACTGTACACAAACAGTTCACTAAAATAAAATTATTCTAACTGTAGTTACAAAAATTGTGTTAAAAATGTACAGCAACCAATGCTTGAAGATTGGAACAGAGAAATAGCATTGAAAAAGTCATGTGGTTTATTACAAAGTGAAGTTTCCTAAGTTCTGTCTACTTGGAAAAAGAAAATTCACACAATGGTTTTACGTAGGTGAGAAATTTTGAGGAAATAGCTGTGGGTTTAATTGTTTAATCTTCTCCCTACTGGGCCAAGTGGGTCATAAATTTCATAGGAAGAATTGTTACCTCAGAAGTAGATTAATTAGTTTTATTGAGGTTTTTATGGGGGTGGGGTGCTGACTGGATCCTAATTCCACATGGCTCTAAGTGCCCTGCTTTACTCTAATAAATTTAATTCAGTTACAAGCTTTTAAAATTTTATGTTAATTTATTTTATAATTATGATTTAATATTTATTTTATAGTTAGGCCTTAGGGCTAAATAACTAAAAATTCACCGCACACATTAACGTTAAAATAAACGGCCTCATAGTTATACTAATGGACATATCAAATTTCAGATGCAGCTAGACTGAAGCAATAAATGTTTCGGTACTTGCATTCACTGTACCAAAGTGTGGAGACAACCTGGCCCATCAGGCTGGTGTTGGGCTCTAAACCAGACCCACCCACTCAGGAGCTTAAAGACACAGCAGCTCAGGTCTTCTCACTTATCCAGTGTCACACTCAGGTAATGAAAATATCTTTAGCTGAATCACCACATTTTTGTCAACACATGAACATTTATTTTGTCTTTATTTTTATGAAACATGAAATAATAAATTTATTCTAAATTAGAATTCTCTATTTTGTCTTTGATTTTTTGATAATTTAAAAATAAATTTCTCCCAGTGTTCAAAATGTTTAGGGTTTTATTGTATTTTCTCAAAGTTTAAATACTCCTAATGTCAACATATTTTTTAAACCAGCAGGATAAAACAGAAGAAACACTATCCCTATTAAGATCACTACCTAATTTAGACAAATGGCTGACAGTGGTTGATGATAGTACAGGTTATGATCTGCTACAACTGTCTGTGATTTATAGGTAGGTCACATAAATAATAAGCCATAAACAAGCAGTGATAAACTTTGGTGCAATGATAACAGATGTAGATGTAGTAATTAGCTATTGAAGAACTTCAATGAAAAAGTCATGTGTGATAAAAATAGAATGAGTATATTAACTTGTAGTAATTAGCATGGCTGTAATCAGTAGCTCACAGGCCAAACATAAAAAACAACCCTTGCAGTTTTGACTAACAACTTTAAAATTAAAAGGTAATTGAACTTGATTAATTGTAGTGATAATTGTTTTTTATAGTAGTCCATATGGTATGATATGTGATACAAATTGAACATTTATTTGTATCTTAAAGTCACGTCACAAATATACAACATTACAATTCCCGGTCTTGTCAAGCTAACTTTTACTAAATCAACAGGCTGCTCATGACTTGAAAATTATTAAATAAAAAAAAAATTCTAATAAAAGCAGACAAATTAATCCTCATCTGCCCTTCTAGAAAAACAATATCAATAATTTCAACGAATTCATTGTAAAAATTGACCTTAGACATAAGGCTTCTGACTGGAATGTCAACTGTGTTGTTGTGTTTTCACTGTCCTGTCCTTTATATTAAAATCTAATATATAAAGCTCAATTCTGTATGTAACATGTAATAAGTTTGTTTGTCCATGACATACTAAATTTATGAGTTAAAAAATTACTATTGAAAGTGTTGGGAAATAATTTTCATTTTTCAAACTGATAGTAATAATTGTCGGCATGTTCATTAAACACAATTTTTTAAAAAATATCATCTTTTACAAAAATTCTAATTATGTCTGAAAATTATTTATATTTAGTCCTTTAGCACTTACTTCCCTTTGATAAATTAGGAAAACACAATTACTTCCCTTTATAAAACATTGCATTAGTGGAAAAGAATTTACTTTTTATTTCTTTGTTTTGGTGTTGGGAAAAAAATAATTACATAATTAGCGGGGATTGATCAAGTGCAAATGTTGTAGGTATTTTACGGTTAAGCTTGGAGTATTATAATTGTTCATTAAATTGAAACAGGCTCGTCCGCCGGCGCCCCACCAGGGTTCAATTTGGCGCTCTGGGCTATCCTATGGTGCATAATTTCGCTTTAAACAGTGCGATAGAGTATGGATAAGAAAGGTTACTATAGTCTTTAAGTGAATCGAATCCGGGCGTCCTCTGGCGCCCAGACAGGGTGCTATTTGGGGCCCCGGGCCTCCCGTGTTCGGTTTGGCGCCTACGTTCGTTTAAGTGAGTGCAAAAGACTATGAATAAGTTGGGGTACTATTAAGCTGAAACAGGCGATTCCACCCCGGGCTAGACTGTGAGCACTTTGCGTTTATGTTCGCGTTTGTGTTTTCTTTGTGTTTAGGTTGGGTTTGCGTTAGTGGTTGCGTTTTGATTTGGTTCGTTTTTGTTCTTTCTTTTTTCGTTTTCGTTTGTGTTTTTTTCTTTGGGTTTGTATTTGTGTTTGTGGTTGGTTTTGCGTTTGGATTTGGTTTGTTTTCGTTAGCTTTTTCATTTGTGTTTTTTTTCTTTGGGTTTGTGTTTGTGGTTGGTTTTGCGTTTGGATTTGGTTTGTTTTCGTTTGCTTTTTCGTTTTTTTTTCTTTGTGTTCGTATTGGTGTTTGTGGTTGTGGTTGGGTTTGTTGTTAGGTTTTTGTTTTCGTTTGCTTTTTTGTTTGTTTTTTCTTTGTGTTGGTATTGGTGTTTGTGGTTGGGTTTGTTGTTAGCTTTTTGTTTTCGTTTGTATTTGTAATTGTGTTAGCGTTATGTTTGCGTTTTGTTGTTTAGGTTTTGGTTGGTTGTGGTTTGGGTGGGCAATGCCGGGTTTATGATGATTAATAAACACACAGGTAATGGTCTTTAACAGAAAGGTTTTTCACAGAAGCCAGAGCAGGGCCGGGCCGGGACGGCTAGTAATAAATTATAAAAATAATAAAACAATTAGAAAAACTTTATCATCCTAGCTTTTTAATGCACTAATTTGATAAACAATATACAAACCTACAACCTAGTCCACAAAATAATGACATGTGAAAATGTCTCCCGACAATAGGCTCGCCACAACATACTAATACTAGTTCTGTTGAAAAGACCCACAGTAACATGGTTACCGAAAACTGGACCCCCCCCCCATCCAATGTGGAAATCCACACAAATTTGGTAGACGTCTCAAAACTTAATACCATACCAGTTTACTATTTCAATATCATGTATTAATTTAATAATTTCGGTAATGTTTATTATTAGGCCCTAAATAATCGAAGTATAGAGTGTAGAGAGAGAGATAAATTAGTAAGTTTTAAACGACAAAGTAATAAAATAGGTCTATACAGAGGCGTAGCGACCCTTCCCGGCGTCCGGGGACAAACTTTCAATTTGGCGCTCCCCTCGGGAGCAAATTTTTCAAACTTTTGATTTGCACCCCCCCTCCCCCAAACTTTTTCGATTTACACCCTTCCTGAAACTATTTATAATGCAAAAAAAGCAGCTAAAATGACATTTTAATTTGTTTTTACAACCCATTTTGGCGCCCCGTAGGTCGGCGCCCGGGACATATGTACCCCCCTGCCCCCCCCCCCCCATCGCTACGCCTCTGGGTCTATATTATGATACAATGATTTTCACCATTACCAACCAAAAACTCATACAAAGTAATATTTCTGTTTACTTCATCGTTGGCTTACCAAATAGGTGCTATTTTAATTAAGGGTCGTCCATGAATGACGTCACACTCCAGAGGGGCGGGTGCAGGGCTTTAGAAAGTGTTACCACACGCTTTTTAATTTTAAGTTGTTGCTTCACATTGGTAATATAAATGCGGTGTTTTATTTACACGTTGTTGTGTGTGTTTGTTTTAAAACAAACACTCGTCTCAATTTAACTTTGTAGGCCATACATTATAGATGCATGATGCGAGTTTTATGTTAGTTTTAAAATGTAAGCAGGTGTTAAAATGAGCTTAGTTTGTTTCAAGAGCTGTACTGCAGGAGCTAAATATATTGTGTGATCCCAAATTGCGTGTGAGCGAGACAAGGGCCTGATATTTGCCAGGAGCGGGAGACATCGCCGCGTCATTCTCGCAATACACATAAACTATCGCGGCAAGCTCATCAAATTGCAAATACTCGCCAAGTCTAACTCTGTATCCTCCGTAAAGACAAGCTAGCCCTACAATGTCCTAAATCAACAGTCTGCCATAATGTACAGTTAATTTGCTCCCCTTCATCCTCCCCCATCCATACCGAATATTTTTTTGAGAAAACTCTGTTTATATCTAAGCGCATCAGATGCGTAGCGACCCTTCCCGGGACAAACTTTTCGATTTGCACCCCCTCAACCTTCCAATTTATTTTTCCAACCCATTTCTTGCGCCCCATAAGGTTGGCGCCCGGGACATATGTCCCCCCCCCCCCCCGCCCTCGCTACGCTACTGAAGCGCATGCACACTGAATGAAATGGCTACCGAGCGAAAGAAAAAACTTCGTCATAACTAAAAATTGCATCTTTTTCAACCCAGCGACGAACACGATATTTCTTGTATCCTTACCACCCAGCGCAAGTACTTGGTTATTTCAAGTATAACGCCGTATTGAGATATACGGCCAGTAAAATACACGATCTGGCGATAGACCAACAGTCCCGACTAAATATAAGCAGATCGTAATGCCCGGCTGGAGTGTTCAGAATTCAAACTTTTTCTCTTTAAAATATTATAAACGGGAATGCATTAAAACTGTACTGTCTATTACATTTCGATTACAATGGGTTAACTCGGCTAAATTTACCTTAGATAACGCGTGGTGACTCCTGGAAACATTCACGTTGTCTTGAGTAGAAGATGTAGTACCAGTGGAGACATTTTCAATACTACTATATTTAGTGCACTGCGTGGTCAAGTCTTTCCTTTTTCAGGTATTTTATAGATTGGTAAACGTGTCATGAGGGGAATATCCGTTACGTGGCATGATCAGGAGTTGCGTCAGACATTTTTTCTCAGAGGAGGGGGGGGGGGGGAGAGACGGACATAAAGACTATTCAAAGAAGAAAATATATACTTTTAACCAGAGGCGTAGCGAGGGGGTGCGGACCGCACCAGGTGACACCATTTAGGGGGGTGACACCAAGGCGAAAAATAGCATAGAGAAAAACTTTGGGGGGGGGGGTGCAAATCGAAAGTTGGGGGGGGGGGGGGCAAATTGAAAGTTTGAGGGGGGGGGGTGCAAATCGAAAATTTGAAAGTTTGTCCCCGAGAAGGGTCGCTACGCCTCTGGGGGTGACATCATTAAGTGCCGCACCGGGGTGACACCCGACCTCGCTACGCCACTGCTTTTAACAGTGTCGCCCCCCCCCCCCCTCCCGGAGAAAAACGTTTAGAAGAAACACTGATCCCAAGTTTCTCTAGAAAGAAGTCATCATACATCGTATTCTCGGGGGGGGGGGGGGGGCTCCATGAGCTGAGTTTATGCGTGGTTAGAACTGGAAAGTCGCCTATTTTCTTCAATATTTTTACTCGCTATTAAAACCTATTAGTTTTCCTGTTTGGCAAAAATTATTAGGATTAAATAAGGTGGTTCGAGTGTTAATAATTTGATATAAAGCGTCTTAGATCTAGTCTTTATAATCAACAGTGGCAAATGTTTTTTAACAAATGTCATCTTCAGCTGTCAATTAAAGTGTGAAAATGACATTAATGAACAGTGAATCACATCCATCCAAATACTTAGTAAGTTTAAAAGATCGTGTTAAAGTTTCAGGACTGTTAAATTCCGCTTAACCTATCCCCCTCTTCTAAGGTCACGTATTTGTGGTGGTGAATTTTTTTCATTTTAGGCTTGGTGTTGTACCTGATAGTAGTTTTATAGTCAAGATCCGGCGATCGGAGATTCAAGGGACAAAATTAAATAAGCAAGGAGGGGGTCTGGTATAAGAAAGAAACATAGCATGACAAACATTTTTTATTATGGGTGTGGTCAGAGGCGTAGCGAGGGGGGGAGGGGGGCGGTGGTGCGGACCACAACGGGTGACACCATTTAGGGGGTTGACACCAAGGCAAAAAATAGCAAAATATATAGAGAAAAATTTGAGGGGGGGGGGGGGGTGCAAATCGAAAGTTTGAGGAGGTTTGTCCCCGAGAAGGGTCGCTACGCCTCTGGGGGTGACATCATTAAGTGCTGCACCGGGTGACACCCGACCTCGCTACGCCACTGAGTGTGGTAGGTGAACCATAATCTCTACATTTGTGACGTCCGTATCTGGATAATATTCAAGCTAATTACGCCCTTATTATAGAATGGGAGGGGACGGTGGCTTGACGTCATTTGACTGATATTTTATACGCCAATCATACAGAGCCTGAAACCACAGGGAGTGCTGTTACGTGGCCTTCCAGCTTGTCTAGTTTCATGGAAAGACGTGCTTAAAATAATTGCTCTCCCCTCCCCCACTCAGTTACTAGATCTATATAGGCTTATACACAAATCCTCATAAAGTTGTGTATGGGTGAATACCAATGCTTACATTATATTCTTGTTTAGAAGCCTCATGTTGTATCCCTTGTTGAATGTTGTCGATACGTTTTAGAAATTAAATCCAGATCTAGAATACTAAACCACGTTTTCATGAGCAAATCTTTCCAAGTATTACGAACCGGGCTCTAATTATTGTCAATAATTTTATCAAAATTAATATATCATGTAATATATCATCAGGTTTCCATCGAAATCTCACAATTTCCCACAAAATGAAGAGTCTTTGACCTATGTTATCAATTATTGTTAAATGTTACGAAACAGATTAGCTGTCCTCGAGGCAGCACGTGGCGTCCATTGACGTGCCTCACAGGAAGCGCATGCTAACAGTTATATTTAGACCCGATCGTTACACGTACGAGGAATTCCCTTAGGCTACACGCAATTGTCGGGAATGCCCTATTACGTGTCTCGATTTTCTTTTTTAAAAAATGCATGTTATTATTATCCCTTAAAGCCTATAAACATTGACTTTGCCCCCTCCCCCCTTCCACGAAAATTAGCCTTTTTCGGAAATTTATTATTTAAAAATGACATCATGCTTATTCTTGAAAACTGTTAGATCTATATATTAGCGCTATCTTTATAAAAACTAGAAGGGTTAACTGGCATTTAATTTTATTCAGCAAAACTGGGGAGTAACTTGTGTCTAGTAATAAAAAAATAATTTTTCTTGATAATTTGCATTACATAGTTTGCACTCAATTTTTTTTTACACATTTAAATAAAAATTAAATTGTACAACTACTGCTTAGGTACTTTCTGTTGATAGATGTAGACCAGTCATCCACTACCTGCTGACCCACAGCTGGGACCCAGACAGGTATGACTGTAGCCCACCTGTCAGTCTGGCAGCTTACATGGGAGACAACCATGTCCTGCAGCTGCTCATTCAGCTGGGAGCTAAGGTGATGAATAAAAAAAGAATAAATTTGTTTAAAATAAAGTAACATTGTGCAGAGTGTGTTGCATGTTATCTGTGTTGCTTTTTTCTGATGTCAATTAATAAGAATGATAGTGCAGGCATGATAGTAAAGAATGTCACAAAGTGAAAACTGATTTTTTTTTAAAACAATAAACTATTGAGAAAAAAAACAACTTTACAATAAAAACAGAACGTAGCCGACTATAAAAAATTTAAAATTAGATTTGTTAAAAAATTAACTACAAGAAATCCTGCTTTTAAAAAAATCTGCTGCTAAACAATTATTCACAATTAAATAAAAGATAAGTTCTATTTATAAAATATTTATTTCTATTTATGAAATAATTATTTCTATTTATGAAATACTTATTTCTATTTATTAAATAATTATTTCTATTTATTAAATAATTATTTCTATTTATGAAATAATTATTTCCATTTTTTAAATAATTATTTCTATTTATTAAATAATTATTTCTTTTTATTAAATAATTATTTCTATTTATTAAATAATTATTTCTATTTATGAAATAATTATTTCTATTTATGAAATAATTATTTCTATTTATGAAATAATTATTTCTATTTATTAAATAATTATTTCTATTTATGAAATAATTATTTCTATTTATGAAATAATTATTTCTATATATGAAATAATTATTTCTATTTATGAAATAATTATTTCTATTTATTAAATAATTATTTCTATTTATTAAATAATTATTTCTATTTATTAAATAATTATTTCTATTTATTAAATAATTATTTCTATTTATGAAATAATTATTTCTATTTATTAAATAATTATTTCTATTTATGAAATAATTATTTCTATTTATGAAATAATTATTTCTATATATGAAATAATTATTTCTATTTATTAAATAATTATTTCTATTTATTAAATAATTATTTCTATTTATTAAATAATTATTTCTATTTATGAAATAATTATTTCTATTTATGAAATAATTATTTCTATTTATGAAATAATTATTTCTATTTATTAAATAATTATTTCTATTTATTAAATAATTATTTCTATTTATTAAATAATTATTTCTATTTATTAAATAATTATTTCTATTTATTAAATAATTATTTCTATTTATTAAATAATTATTTCAATTTATTAAATAATTTTTTTTTAAATTTTTATTAATTAAATAAATATTTCTATTTATGAAATAATTATTTCTATTATTAAATAATTATTTAATCTTATTACCAGACTGGTGTAAAGAAAGGCATGTGTTACCCTGAGCCTCACCTGCCCATCAACTATGAGAGCTCATTCTTCAGCATGTCCCCACACCCAGTCTACCTGTGTAAGACACACAGGATGACACCTGTCCAATGTGCCATCCAGTGTGATCACCTCGCCTGTGTTCAGGTAGTAACAGTATACAGAAATAATTTTTCTTTGGGTTTTCATCAAGTCATAGTATAATAGAGATACTATGCTTTTGAACCTGACTGTCCATGGGGCAGGCGAAGTAGAGTTCATCTGTTTCAGTGACCTCAGCATATGAAGGGATAGTGTGGTCAGCTCAATGCCCAGCTGACTTTACTATCCCTAACGTGAGTCAGGTACCCATCAGAGTGAGGTGGACTCAAGGATGTACTACTTATATGAACCCTGGATTCGAAGTTGAGACTTCAGATTAGCAATTGTATGCTCCACCATTTGACCACTGTCTCATTATCAAGTCAAAGTTTATTGTAAGTTTTTTGATTACCTCCCCTGATTGGGAGCTAACTTACTTCCCCTCAAAGACATGTCAGTTATAAAAAATAGTTAGATTGGGCTGAGTTATAAAATTAGAAAAAAATATTTACGAAGCCTAATTTTTTTTTGCTTTATGTAAATGCAGTTAACTTAATATCTCTTATATAAGCAGATATAAAAATAATTTGTAAGAGTCAGATCTTTCTTTCGCTGTAGACAATCTTAAAACATGAAGATGTCAAATCACCACATGAGCTGCTGATGTACGCTTGTCAAGAAGGGTCATCCAAGTGCATCCGCTACTTTGTGGACATGTATCCAGACAGCTTAAACATTTATATGAATGGGGACACGCCTTTATTGGCGGCTGTGCCCTGGGGTGAAACGTAAGTCTGTGTTATTTTTAATGTATGAGACTAAAAAAACAATAAACAGCAAACCAAAGGAGGTCGTCATGGTCCGTCGGTTAAGCTCGGATGTTGAACGGATAAGTCCCAAATTCAAACCCCAGAGGCTCGATAGCTGGGGACAGCCACTCATCTAGGAAAGGCAACTCCAAAATCAAACAACTTTTGCCGCCTTGTAGTTTGTTCTTGGTTGGACAAAGGCTATGGAAGCAAATTCAAAAAGAAAAGCAGGCTGAAATAGGAGTCAACGACCTAAATGGCGCATAACCAGTTGACACGTAAACTTAATTGTGTTGGAAGTAATCCCTTCTAACTCTAAAATTAAGAACCGAAGAAGAAGAAAAAAGATCAAACCAATTTTAATAAATGTTGGTTAGTTGAAAATCTGTGTTATTTATAGTAAGATAAAACATTAAACTTTAATAACAGTGTGTGTTCACTTCAAAAATGAAGATTAAAAAAATTAATACGTTTAAACCAAAGTTGAACAAAAACAAAATGCTGGTAATGTAGGGTGTATTTAAAGGCTTGTAGAGTTGTCAGTACCCTGGCCTTGTTTATATTGAGGGTAAGGATATCATGTATCAAAGGTAAGATACATCTGAGGTAGAGGGTCACACATGCCATTGTTACAAGTAAAGAAGGTCTGCTACATAGCAAGAAATCAAGAACAGTCTCATGTACTGACTGCAACTCAACATTATTTAATGTTAAAAAACACTTAAAATATATCTATCATATCATTGTACTATGGTTTTGAAATTGTAAACAGAGTATGGTGACAGCATATTTAAATGGAAATGCTGTTTTAGATGTTGTAACATTGTATGTGATGTTTCTAGGTCTTGTAACATTGTATGTGATGTTTCTAGGTGTTCCAAGATTTTGCTGGACGCTGGAGCAGACGTCCACATGAGGTCAGAGAGCATCCAGGAGACAGCCCTGCACCGACTGTACAGGCAGAACATTGACGGGCTGTTCACCATCTACGACACGACCAAGTACCTGCTGACTACAGGGATAGAGCAGGAGGTAGGTTAACTGGGGTAAAGTTGGGGGGGGGGGGGGTATGGGGTTGTTGGCTGTAGCGTGCCATCATTTGGGAGTGGAGTTGTGATTTCTAGTGTGGATGAAAAGACAGAACATAAAAATTGTACAAATAGACGACCTGTAAACATAGCTTTTCTGTAAAAACTCCAGGATCATAAGTGAACTTTTTGAGAAAAGAAAAGCGGATTTCTCTGAAACAGTTGATCAATTTTCCTAGAAAATAGTTTTTAAACTTGCTGAGACTTAAAACAATTTTCTTACTTAAAATTGAAATGGATGTTTATGGAACACAAGTTTTAAATATTTAAATATATTATTAAATTAGTTGACTTTCATAGTGAACTACATATTTTTGAAAATCTGCTTTTTCTGGATAGTATTATTAACAACTTTTTGAATAAAAATGTGGTTAATGCAAATGCCTTCACACTTGTGTGTTTATCAAAGTGAATGCCCACGAGTTAATTATTTTGTCAAGGTGAATGCCTACACACTAATGTATTTATGCCTACACATTAACATGTCTTTTAAGGTAAATGCCTAGACACTTTGTTAATGTCTACCCACTGTGTCAATGCCTACACACTGTGTTAATGTCTACATACTGTGTTAGTGTCTACACACTAATGTGTTTATGTCTGTGTTAATGCATACAAACTGTGTTAATGCCTACACACTGTGTTAATGCCTACACACTGTGTTAATGCCTACACACTAATGTGTTTATACCTATGTTAATGCCTGTGTTAATGCCTACACACTAATGTGTTTATACCTATGTTAATGCCTGTGTTAATGCCTACACACTAATGTGTTTATACCTATGTTAATGCCTGTGTTAATGCCTACCCACTAATGTGTTTGTTAAGGTGAACGCCTACACACAGCTTGGTGAGACAGCCCTACACATGCTGGTGTCCCACGTCTCCTACACAGGAGGGAACTACGTGGACCCCCAGAGACAGACCCCCAGGGTACAGCTACAAGACAGCTACCAGTCACAGGTACTAAATCTTATGTTGTTTCCCTAACTCTCTCATAGTTTATATGGTAAACCCCTGGGTTTCTCAGGGTTTTTGCTTAGTTTCCTGGTACATCACAGAGACTGTTTGAGATATTAAGGGCAGGTTTATAAGGTTTATAAAGTCTTAAGTCTTGGGTCCTGGTACATCACACAGTGTGTGATATTAGGGGCAGGTTGGTAAGGGGACAGTCTTAAGTCTAGTGGTATGGTACTCAACCTGTTGACTTAGCAAGCATGCTCTCTACTGTTAGACCACACCATACCCTAAATATATCATCAGCACATGAGGGGATTAATAGATTTAAAAAGGAAAGGAATCACTAAGTATAGATTTTCAATGACACATTTTGTTGAGCATAGTTCAACATTTGCTTATACTCATGTGTTTATGCGTATATTAAAATATGTTTATGTTGTTTTAGGTGTCATTGTTCTTGGTATAGTTCTTTATTTTTATTTTTTTGGTAATATTTGTTGATTTTGTGGTTTTAAAAATTTATCATTTGTCTTAGAATTTGTTAATTGTCATATTTGTTCCTTTTTGTGTATTGTTCAGATGTGTTGATATTATTGAAATTTGTCAATATTGTTGAGATTTGTTATTGTTAAGATTTGTCTATATTTTTGTGTTATGTTGATGTTGTTGAGATGTGTTGATATTGTTGAGATGTGTTGATGTTGTTGTGATGTGTTGATGTTGTGATGTGTTGATATTGTTCAGATGTGCTGATATTGTTGAGATGTGTTGATATTGTTGTGCTGTATTGATGAGATAATGTAACCCTGTTGCCAACCGAATGAGAAACTCACACACAGACTTGATGTAAAGCTTTGTCCCAGGTACTGGCTGCCCTGCGGCTACTGCTGGAGTTTAACGCCGACCCCACCCTGCTGAACAGTGCCAGACTGACCCCACTCAGTCGCCTGCTGCACATTGGGCTGAAGGCGGTCAACAGGTTTGAGCCGTGTGAGTGTGTGAGCACGTCCCAGCCCGACAGGTTCATACATGAGTACAGACACAACTACCAGGTCCTGACGCAGGCGCTGGATGTCTTGCTGCAGTTTGGGGCAGATCCCTCCTTCACATGTCATGTGAGTACAGTTGGTCTCTTAACTCAAGTAGATTGAAATGTGGACTTGATGCAGTTTTTCTATTAAATTTCATCAAATCTTTGATAATTTACTTCCTCATCTAGCTAAACAGTCATATGCACTCAGTCATATTCACTAGCAAGTCACCTTCAGTAGCACACATTGGGTCATGAGTATTGAATCCCTAGCAGCCTCCCCCCTTTAACACTAATGTTGACCTTGTATTCCTTGAGTGGCCGCACCCCCTGACCTTGATGTTGACCTTGTATCCCTAGTGAGCCACACCCCTGACTTTGATGTTGACCTTGTATTCCTGAGTGGCCACACCCCTGACCTTGATGTTGACCTTGTATTCCTGAGTGGCCACACCCCCTGACCTTGATGTTGACCTTGTATTCCTGAGTGGCCACACCCCCTGACCTTGATGTTGACCTTGTATTCCTGAGTGGCCACACCCCCTGACCTTGATTCTGTATTTATAGACTGGCCACACCCCTGACCCTGTATTCTCAGGATGGCCACACCCCTGACCTTGTATTCTCATAGAGGCCACACCCCTGACCTTGTATTCTCAGAGAGGCCACACCCCTGACCTTGTATTCTCAGAGAGGCCACACCCCTGACCTTGTATTCTCAGAGAGGCCACACCCCTGACCTTGTATTCCTAGAGTGGCCACACCCCCCTGACCTTGATTCTGACCTTGTATTCCTAGAGTGGCCACACCCCCCTGACCTTGATGCTGCACCTCCTGCTGTATGACGACATGTCCAACATCTGCTGTCAGCACCCACACGTGGTGGCTGCTGTGGAGGTGCTGCTCCAACATGGCGCCCAGCCCAACTTTACTGACGGCGGCCAGAGAACAGCGTACACCCTACGTATGTTTCCTTTATCTGTGCTTTATTCATTCTTTGAGTACACAACTTTCACTGGGCAGTGATGTAAATTATAAATAAATATGTAATGAAATTATTGTAACGTTTCTTATTGTTTAGTTTTGTGAGGTGCAGTTGATGTGGAATAAAAATGAAAATTTCATTGAAAAGCATCAACAGTTAGTTATAAACTCAATAATGGTGTTAATGACTATGTAAAGTTAATTGGGTTAACTTGTTCATTGTTGTTATAGTGTAACCAACACTTAAGCAATTATTTTGGATTTCCATCTTAACACTATCACAATCTTATAAAAAAAACAGAAAGTTTAAACACCAAAATAAAACTATAAAAACATTCATTTGTTCATAGTTTCTGATGCTTTTTGACAGTTTCTGATGTTTTTCGACAGCTTCTGTTATTTTGACTGTTTCTGATGTTTTTGACAGTTTCTGATATTTTTTGACAGTTTCTGTTGTTATTTTGACAGTTTCTGATGTTTTTTGACAATTTCTGTTGTTATTTTGACAATCTGATGTTTTTTGACAATTTCTGTTGTTTTGACAATCTGATGTTTTTTGACAATTTCTGTTGTTATTTTGACAGTTGCTGCCATTTGTTCCCGCTGCCTTGAGAACACACTAGCCCACAACACCAGTGACGACCAGGCCCTGAGAGAAAAGTTTGGGGAGGTCATGAATGATGTGCTGCGTGTTTTCTTACAGCACGGGCTGGAGCCAAACTACACGTGTAGTAAGCTTTGTCAACATCTGAGGGGCGGACAAGGCAATGGCTTGATGGGTGAAGTTTGATGCGTGTTCTTTGTTAAATTCTTGTTGACACTGTCAGTAATTTTATTCAGAATTTTAACTTAGGATAAGTAAAGTTCCATTTTCAAACCTGACGGTCTATAGGGCAAGTGAAGTAGAGTTCACTTGTTTCTGTGACCTCGGCATATGAAGATAGTGTGGTCAGCACTATGCCCAGCCGCCTTTACTTTCCCTAACGTGGGTTAGGTACCCATCAGAGTTGTGTGGACTCAGGGACGGTCTACTGACTTGAACCCAAGATTTACGGGTTAGCAGTCCAGCTCTCTACCGCTAGACCACTCTGTCCCCTTTAACTTAGGATACTTGATGATAAACAAAGGCAACAGTGGGTGATTAGTTGTATGTGGTGATTCATGGCCGAATGTCATTTATGTGGGCAGTTGTCTTATGTGGGTCAGTGGTTACGTGTGACAGCTGGTTATGGTTGGCAAGTGATCCTACAGAGTGGCCATATGTGGGAGTTGTTATGGGTGACCAGTGGTCAAGTATGGCCGATCGTCAAGTTTGGCTGTGTGTGACAACTTTTAATATCTTCTGCAAACACTTTCAGAATTTGTTAAGCTGGTCAGTTTGGCCAGTACGGACATGGAGTTCCTGCTGATCCACAGGTGGCTCCAGACCCTGCTCCAGTGGGGGGCTGACCCTGACCTTCAACCCTACCCAGCCGAGCCAATCATCTGTCACTGCCAGAGCTCAATTTTTCTCAAGAAACTTCCAACTCAACCCCTTGTCCATTTTATTCATGAGGTAACATTTTTCTAATTTAAATCATTTAGTACAATCTATTCTATATTAGGCTGTCATTTTTTGGTGATTATCATAGCACTAATTAAAGACACAAAAACTCAGATATAGATATATTTTCTAGAACTTGATTCCTATTACATAACAATTCCTTGGGTCTTAAATCACCACAGGTTAAAGATAAAGAAAATCTGAGAACCAACAAGTCCCTACAGAACATTTTGGCCCTGTTTTACAAGACAATGGATCACACAACGCTCCACCAATGTCTCAGCTCCACCAGAAGTGCCATCCACCTGCAGCACTGCCGGTTCCTCAACTCCACCGGCTCCATCTCGACACTCTGCGATGGCAGCACTGACCTACTGACCCTGGTGACCTTGATGAGTGACAACCCAAGGTCACTGAAAGAACTCTCCAGGGTGGCTATTTACAAGTCGCTTGACCTTAAGCTGGCCAGTCGAGTGGACCAACTGCCGTTACCTTTTGTTGTGAAAAAATATTTGCTGGATATTGATACGTGACCTAACAAGTGGACAGTGGTCATTGAAGTAGTCTTGTTAGCAACTTGAGGAGCTGTTTATTATCTCCTTCCTGGTCTGTTCATATGGGTAAATCATCAGAGCAAAGCTGGCTTTATTTTTTTCCATGATGTAAATATGTAAATGCTATTTTGGAATAGGAAGCAAAACTTTGTGCCTAGTGGAACTGGAAGCAAAACTTTGTATCTAGTCTTTGGAAAGTTCAGGGAGGGTGGCTTCAGTGTGTGTTACAATGTGAAGAGGTTGTGCCAAGTTTTTGTGTTATTTTTTTAAATACAAAGATCCTCCAAGCTAAGAAATTCCAATCATGTAAATATTATTTGGGCATTGTTTTACATTTAACTTGACAGAAAATCCACATGAATTTATTTTGTAATGAAACAGGTTTAAAACTTTATAACAATAAACATAAATTGTCTTTAGAAGAGATTTCAGTATGGATGAACTTTTTTATTTTTACTAATATATCTAAAGACAAATTATGTTTATTTTTAGTGCATTTGAAATTTTATTATTTATGTTTTTATTGTTTTAATTTTACTTTTAAATATTAAGGTATTGATAAGATGTAATATTTAAGTTGTAAAAACATGACATTTTAATTTTAAAAATTTGGTTCAATTTTTTTAATAAGGTTAAGCTCCCAACTAATTGAAAAATATTTTCTTACAACAAAATTGGTTAACTTTAAACAACTTTTGGCCACTTAATTAGACTATGGTCCATTCTCAGATATAAATATTTTCATGAAGTTCACCCAGTTTCACTATTGCTAATGCTTGTGATCATCCCATTTATTTAAATAATTTATTTATTTTCTAGTAATAAGTTGATGTTTTTAATCTGAAACTAATTTATCTGTAATGCTTTATAAAAACACTTGTATAGAAGTGGGTCACAATTGAGGTAAACTGACATACTTAGTAATATGTAATAAACAATTTTCAATTATTTTTACTGCTAAGAGATTTATTTAAAAATAGATCTTTTAGAGCAAAACTGTTGTAATGCTGTAGTTTATTAACTACAGCTTATATAAAGAACTCATTTAAACGATGACACTAGATTTTGCAAGTGGACTCTTTGATTGGTCTAATGTAATTTTTTTTTGCAGATTCCTTTCCTTCATACCTTTTTTTTTTAAATTATATATTTTGTGACATAAAATATAATTTGTTTGGACAAGTTGTTTGTAAATTTGTGTAAACTGTACCAATGGAACTTTAGGAAATTTATAATAAAGTTCCTGTTTTTTTTTGTTCAGCTACTAAGCATTATAATTAAAAGTTAAGTTTTTATCTCACATCATTCAATCTAAAATTGACAACAAAGTATAGATATTCTAGGATCTTTTTTTTTTGTAAACCTTGAGCTTCTTCAAAGAGATCTATGAAAACTAGTCATTTTTTAAGATATTTTTTTCTTCATTTAGTATATGGCCAGTGAAAGCTTTTAAAGAAAATGTATGAAAATATTGTGATTTTCACTATACTAAACTTGAATCACATTCCATTTTGTTTACTTATTTGTTTAAATTAGTTTAATGCATTTTATTTAACAAAAAACTTCTAAAACTGGTAAGATGTGCTAGAGCAAAATGAACTTTATCTCAGCTGAATAGACAAAAAAAATGAAGTCCCACATTTTCCCAGATATTTTGTATTTATTTAATCCATCACATAATACATGATCCAATAGTGTTACACTATGTCATGAAACATAAAAGTGATCAGTTTACGTACATTATGCAACACAACAGTAACAACAAAGAAAAGAAGAAAGCCAGTTGCTTTGGGCCTAAAACACACTCAAAACATTTTTTGTAGTAGCATGGCAAATCCGACAAATCAGAATACCTTGAAACACATCATTTACATCATCAATTATCAGTTAAGGTGTTTACGTGTCTCACTTGAATAGATTTTTAAGTTCAGGTGGAAAAAAGAAAAAAAATATACACTGAACAGCAATTTCCATTTAAACACCGTAATCTAACAACTAAAATTAGAAGCAGTAATTTTGCACATTCAATCATAACAATGTACATTTAATTATCTATTGTTACACATAAACAAACAATATTTCTAATATATATATATATTTATATATGTATGTGTAGTGAATGCTGGCTAAATAACAAGAGAAGACTACCACTGCTTGACAGATTGAGCTCCCCTCATTTCTAATGCAGATAATTACTTACATTATTTGATTGTGTGAGGAAATATTGAGTATATGCATATGTGACACAATACTGAACGAATTTTTACATAAAAAAATACACCCTTATCATAAATTGTTCTATAGTGAAGCGCCTGGTATTGTAATACATTTATTCCAAGTTTCTCCATTTCATTCTTAAAATCACTTGCTCTTAAAGAATACATCCTTTATGACAAATTATAGTTTCAAAATTAATTACATATTAGTACTACAATTATAAAAAAAAAAAGTTTACAAAAAAAAAAGAAACCCAATAATATTTAGCACTGATGAACATTGCTCTAAAAAGAAAAATTTATCTAAAGATTTGAAAAACAAATGGAGATAACTGAGGTAGAACGGAAATGAAATTCTAATTGTTTGTTGTGTCCCTTTAAAGACTATTTTAAAAAAGAAAACCTAAAGTCTAATACATCCCTTAAATAATGTAGATTGGAGATGCTGGAGTTCAAATAAATGTTTATCTAGCCATAAAATTTTTTTTTTTTTTGCTATACTAGAACTAATAACTTTTTTTGATGACCAATTAAGTAAACTTAAAATGCGAACATTCAACTACATGGGGAAACATCTCACGGTCTTTGCTGTGCAATATACACACATTGTTTCTGTTTCTAAGTTAATCCAATGTTATTTTACTACACTTGGGAGTAAACAGCAAGTCTCAAAAAAACAACTAGTTAATTATTGCCAACAATAGTTATTACTTTCACATACTAAGATATGTAACTATCATTTAACTCATTAAACTTAATTACACAAAAAATTTAAAAAAAAAAACATTTAAAAAATATCATTAGTTGCCTTGAGAACAATAGCAACTTTAGCAAGGTGAGTATATTTCTTATGACACCCATGGTAAGTAGCACAAGTAGCGAACACCACCTAGTCTACAGGGACCAAGTCCCATAACTGTGTTTAAACCTCCAGTGACAAAGTCCCGTAACTGTTTAAACCCCCCTGTTTGTGAGCTGAAGTTTCCTTAGATGTCTAGCAGTAGCTTGATGATCACCTACAGTTTGACGATGGATGGAATGACACTTGGAATAAAATTGTTCTGTGGATAAAAAGATGGATGGAATGACACTTGGAATGAAATTGTTCTGAGGATAAAATTATTTAAGGCAAATGACACTTGGAATAAAATTGTTCTGAGGATAAAAAGATGGATTGAATGACACTTGGAATAAAATTGTGCTGTAGATAAAAAGATGGATGGAATGACACTTGGAATAAAATTGTTCTGTGGATAAAAAGATGGATGGAATAACACTTGGAATAACATGTTCTGAGGATAAAAAGATGGATTGAATGACACTTGGAATAAAATTGTTCTGAGGATAAAATTATTTAAGGCAAATGACACTTGGAATAAGATTGTTCTGTGGATAAAAAGATGGATTGAATGACACTTGGAATAAAATTGTTCTGTGGATAAAAAGATGGATGGAATGACACTTGGAATAAAATGTTCTGTGGATAAAAATAGATAAGGCAAATGACACCTTTACTGTAAACATTTTGCAGACAATGTAGCCTGATCAATCCAAATCTATGTCCACATCTGTACATGATGACTACATAATGCTGAGATGATGAAATATTTCAAATTATTGTTCATTAAAATTATGGCTTAAAACATAAGTGCGAAAAAATCCCCCCAGTGAAACCACATACCACAAATATCTGCTAACAAAAGTAACATGCAGTTTAAAAAATGGAAATCTGGATCAATATACTAAAAGTAGGCTAACCTTTTTTTTTTGCTATTTACTTTGGATTTCCTGACATATTTTCTCAAATTTTTATGTAAGATAATTCTCTACATACACATACTGATAACAGCTTTTATTATACACAGGGAAAAAATGAATAGACATACAAATTATTTAAAAAAGGCTGTTTAACTGAAATATGAGAGTAATCTGCCCTTGAATTATTACAAGTATCATTCAAAATTCTTGCCCTTTAAATCGTGTAACTATCAATGAGAAGCATACAATTTCTAAAGAAACATGAAATTCAATACACTTTCAAGGGAGGTAAATTGTGTGAAAAAAACATTTCTGTTGTCTGAGAATGAAAAAAATAACGTTTGGCAGCAGGCACACAACTTGTCTCCCCTTTCACAAGAGATAACATCAAAAGAGGCATCCAGTAAGGATAGATTCCCTTTGTTCAATGCCCAGTTATTTTTAATTGCAATATGAATGAGTTTTTCTAATACCATCTGTTGTTACATTTATCATGATATTGTAAGATAAACCAAGAGCTGTTAAATGTTTCATTTGGGCTCTTGATAAAACATGTATATTAGTGCTGATGTATGCAGCTATTCAATTAGATTTGTTTTATACAAAAGTTGATGTCCACTGGCAATGGCACAACATCCACATAACGTGATATAAAACTGGCATGTCATTCAGCCCTCTGGACCATAGCACAACAGGTAAGTGACACTAGCTTAATAACATAACCGGTGGGTGGCGTAGGCACAATTTGTCACCCTCCATCCCTTTGCCAAACCGACTATTCATAAAATACTCCCACAGAAAAAAAGAGAAATTTGTGTAAACTAAATTTGCTTTTTAAATAAGGAGAACTAGATCTGCATTCTGGACTTTTTTTTTATAGTTAAGAGAGATAGAATCTTGTATCCTACATGACAACTCGTATGGAAGGTTACCAAAACTAGTATCTTAAATGCCACGAGGGACTTACTTGTATCCTAAATGACATATGTCATATGTCAGGGTATCTCATCGTCCTCCTCCCAGGGTGGCGCTGTGGGCAGCATGTTGTGCATGGACAGGTCAGTGAGGAAGACCTCGCTGTCGTCGTTGGCGGAGAAGAAAGGGAAGGGGAAGTTGTTGTCTTCGGGGGAGAGGAGGGGGTGGCACGTGACCTTGTGCTGCTGGTCTCTCAAGGCCACAGTCCCGATGACGATGTCCACCGGAAGTTTGACTTTCCTGGCCACTCCGCATGGTTTAATACAAAGCTGTGGGGGTAGGGGGGAGAGATCAAATTGAAATTTAAAAAAAATTATATTTCGCGCACGTTTATATACATAAATCAGATTAAAAACATACCAAAAGTGATAGGGATTATAGACAGCTCAATCATTTATTAAACAGATGGTAGAGAAAGGTTGGGGGGGAAGGGTCCATAAAGATACCATACTCCGGGTGTGGGAAGAGATTTTGGTGAAGATGTGAAATCTAAAGAAGTGCGATGTTACACTTTTGCAATTAAATTTTTAAATTTTAGGAGTAAATTAAATTTTTAAATTTTAGGAGTAAATTAAATTTTTAAATTTTAGGAGTAAATTAGCCTTTAAAAAAAGATTTTGTATATTGTAAAAAAAAATTTGATGTACTATAAAAGTATCTTCATCAAACAGTGATTAGCGATGACAGCTCAATCGACGTAGAGTGCACGTTCTAAAAGGAAAATAATTATAATGTTCTTAGAAGAAAGACAACTGTTAAGGGTTGGGGAAGTTTCGTCTTATTCTGACATGTGACAATGGCAAGGGGGGGGGGGGGGGGAGAGGGAGTGTGGAATTCGCCAAAAATATTAAATAATGATCACATCAATTATGGACAACCACCTAACCACACACAACAGCCTACTGCGATGCACGAAATGTAATCTAAATGTACACAGACCCTTACCTCTATACTATACTGTACATCGATAATCTTACAGCCCCTGAGGTGGGAGGGCGGAACTGTGGGGACACTGAGCAGCTCCCTGTTCCAAGTTTGTTTACCCCGGGGGGCGATACGGCCCTTGTGTACCGTCACCAGAGTCGTTGACTCCGAAAATCTGCCTCGATATGAGTAGTAGGTCACGTTCTACAAATACAAACATGTAAACGTTATCTATATATCTAATATATATCTAATATATATCTAATATCTATCTATCTATCTATCTATCTGTCTATCTATCTATCTATCTATCTATCTATCTATCTATCTATCTATCTATCTATCTATCTATCTATCTATCTATCTATCTATCTATCTATCTATCTATCTATCTATCTATCTATCTATCTATCTATCTATCTATCTATCTATCTATCTATATATATATATATATATATATATATAAGATTAATTCAAGGAAGAAAAAAATACAGCTCGAGAAAGATGAAGATGTGAATAAATGGTAAACAACAGTTTTTGTGTTATTTGTGATGATGTTTTTTTTAATTAAGTGAATTAAATGGATCACCATAAAGGTAATACAGTATTTTTTTATTTATTTGAATTCCCTTCTAACTCTGGAAGTTAGCTCAAGAAGAAAAAAAAAATTATTGAAATGTAATTGGACACTAGTGTTGGTCGAAACAACAAGAAAATAATTATAAACATATGCAGGAGGTGGGAGTGAAGGAGGAGGGGGGGGGGGAAGAGGAGATAAGGGGGTGGATTGACGTCGTGTCACTTAGTGGTGTTTAATGGAACACCATCCAGCCATGATTCTTCAGTGTCACTAGGGGGGTGTTTGTAAGAACACCCTCGCGCCACGATCACCCAGGCGCCCCCGGGGCGCGGGTGGCAGATCGCAGGACGGTGCTTTAGTCCTGTCTGTTTACACCACAGGCTGACTTCTACAAACAGGTAACTCGTTCAGGTGTAGTGACGTGTACAGGTGATAACAAATCCCCAGGTGTCCGACGTTCATTGGTAGTCATTCATAGGTCACGTGGTACAAACGTAATGTATGCGGTCGGTTATTTTGGAAACGACTTCCGGTCGTGTTTTTTTCAGTAACATACTCTAAAGCTGCTATTTAATAACCGTTGATCTTTGTACCTATAATACGTCTGGCTGTAACAAGACTTACATGCAGCCTGTGTGTGTATGGGGGGGGGGGGGAGTAGTGTGCATCATTTGTGTGCGTGCGGTGTTCTGAACGTCGTATACAAAGATTTATGTAATGTACAAAGTGACTGCGCGGCAGGTTCATAGCTAAGGCGCGGCCGCGCTACCCCACAGCTTAGAGGGAACATTACTTTACAAGTCTTTTAATAATCCAGATTTCATTAGTACGTAATGATGGATACTGGGTAACATTTCTTTGGGCATATCAAAAAATCCTATCATCGTTTAAGCTGAAACAATTTTTTTTTACATATTTCAATCACAAGAGGGGTCGGTAAGTTGATTGGAGAAAAAGAAATTATTTTCAGAAGTATTTCTCTTAGAATATTTACCAAGCGACACAGTTATAGGCCTATTTCAATTTCACTGATTTGAATTGTGTGCGTGAACTAACCAGAAAAACTTCGGGTCTATTCGGATTTGAGTGGGGATCGAACCTCAGATGTGTACCTCAACCAGGTGATTGGACTTTGACCTGACCATACCATCGATTTCAATACAGAGGTCAATAAAGAGGTGAACTTTACTTCTTCTTCTCCATTCACCATCAGGGCCAAAAGAGTCACTGGGTTATTTTTTTCTACTGTTAAATAATGCTGTATGTATATATCTATATATCTAAAGCAATTTTTCTTTGTCATACTTCCTCGAACTTTTAAAACGAGTAGCATTAAAAAAAAAAACAGCCACGTTTGGCTTCAGACCCACATTTATCCGACCCGTGGACCCACATTTTGCTGACCCTTGTCTTGTAGTGTCCATTAACGAACATTGACCTTCCGATTTTTTTTGTGTTCTCAAAGAGCAGACCGTATTGCTGCGAGAATTGCGTAACAATTTCCTCTCCACCCCCACCCACAACTGTCAAACATTCCATTTCATCAAGTCATTATCCCCCCACCCCCTGAAACAATGGATGCCGTCTGCAATTAAATATTTTAAAAAAACTATTTCCGCCCAATCACGTAATGCATCAGAATGTTTTTATGGCAGACGTCACGTCATACAGAGGCTGTACTTTACGTCCACATTTTGTTCTGGTGTAGTTTTCCATGCATCATTTCTCCCATTAGCGTTCGTCTACAGCTGCATAAAAATATAATTAAAGCGATCTTCTGCATACGGAAAATTGCCGTCAATCTTGAAAATGATTATTGGCATAAAATAATAATAGCCTAAAAAAATATCAAAACAGTAATGCTAAAAATAGAAGCTTTATGAAGTTCGATAATAAAATTGAATAAAAAAACTGATTGAAATAATTTTAAAACGAGTTATATCGTGATGCAGGAAGCAGAACTGAAAATACCCGTATGTGAACCACACTGAGCATTTTTGATGGGATGAAATTAATGACGTCAGCATCACAGATAGTAAAAAACAAAAAAGCGGTTACCGTTAAAACAAGCAATTTTCCCGCTTGTTTATATCACAGCCCTAGAGAGCGCAGATCTGACGGCGTACTTTTGGTGATGGCTGCAGCACGTGTTTGTACTTTAGGTAAACACACACACAAACAGCCACAGATTTGTCCATGTTTTGACTTCCTATATATCGCATTAAAGTCGAGTTACTTGTTTTCTACGTACTCCGAATATTGCCTTTAAGTGCGCTTGAGATTTTGGCAAACAGACAGAAGAGTTAAGAGATTTTATGGTCGGCATCGATTCAATTTAAATCCACTTCCGCTTTTTGTTGTGAAGTGGTCAAGCAGCAGAGCGTCTGAATACAACTCACAAGTCTTTAAAACTTCCTCTAGTCTGCCTAGATACAGTTCAATACTAGGGGCATGATTGGGCACTCGACACACTCAATCCCACAAATGTCGTAACCCAGATTATTCTTTTCAGATATTTAGTCATGAAACTACAGAACTTTAGCTTCTTGAACTTCCAGCCACTTATTGCCAATTTTTTACCCTACACGCTACAACATACCCAAGAAAAAGTCATACTTTTCACAGATCAGATTTCTAATTCAATTTTAAGTAGGACGTAGATCTAGGCCTTAAACACAGGCGCGAACCCAAAGGTAGACCTACTAAGCAAAGTATTGCCCTCCATTAGCGCCTCGGGTCTCGGGGCTACCATGACCCATGTAGTTACTCGTGAAGAAAATTGCTACTACTAAATTGGTGGTAACAGGGGTCAGGGGTTAAATGCGAAAATCTGGCAACTAAATGGCAGCAATGTGGTTAATAGATTTGTTTTTCTCGTCATTATTTTAGTTAAGTGAAGTAGGATTAAGCAGAAGTGAAATGTACAGGGAGCAGAAGTGAATGAAATGAGCAAAGAGCAGAAGTGAAACGCAAAAAGTTTGAGGAGCAGAGTGTTATTGTGGTAAATCACCATAGGGTTAAGATTTTCTTAATGGGCCAGGCCAGTTTTCAGCTTCTTGAGCTGATACCACTTAATTTAAAAAAAGAAAAGTTAAATTATTGAGAAAGGCAGCCTAAGTAAAATCTGTATCGGTACTGTGTCAGTAGAAGAACGGGGTCTATCTCATGACAAAAGAACACGTCAATGTGTTGCTATTGACTACTGAGTTAAGTTCGTGTGTTACAAGCTAAGCCATGATCCAAAGTTAATCTTCGGTTCCTTGTTTTCATCCAGCAAAGCTACGAGAATAAAGGCAAGTTTCACCACGATATTCACGGAGTTGCACAAGACATGAAAATAGTTGCACCAAACGTGAAAATAGTTGTAACAGGCATAAAAATAGCACCAGGCATGAAAATAGTTGCACCAAACGTGAAAATAGTTGCACCAGACGTGAGAATAGTTGCAACCGACATTCAGGTAACACTATAATTAATGTCAATGTCAAGCTAAGTAGATGCCCTTCACAATTAAAAAAAAAACATCTTTAAACATCAATGTCTAAATTTTTTTTAAAGTTAAAAGATAATTATTTTACACCCCCTATCTTTTTTTTCCAGAGAAAATTGTTTTTGTTAAAGCCGTTAAAGCTCGAAAACAAACTGATAATCGGATTAATTAAAGAAATTTTAATTACATTATTTTTTGTTTTATTTCCGGTTCCAAAAGATTGCACTGAACTAACCCGGGCCTCCAACACAAACTGTACTCAACAGAAATTGTTTGGATGCTTGAATGCACGTGAGTTGTAGCCTACACAAACTGTACTCAACAGAAATAGTTTGGATGTTTGAATGCACGTGAGCTGTACCCTACACAAACTGTACTCAACAGAAATTGTTAGGATGTTTTCTGTGCACGTGAGTTGTAGCCTACACAAACTGTACTCAACAGAAATAGTTTGGATGTTTGAATGCACGTGAGCTGTACCCTACACAAACTGTACTCAACAGAAATAGTTTGGATGCATGTATGTTGTAAAGGAGGTAGATGAAAGCCCCTTAAGCCAAGCCCAGCTGGAAAATACTCAACTTCCTGTTTCTTAATTCGTCTCAAACACCAGCCAAGTGGTGAGTGCGCCGCTTATGTTGTTTCTTACAGCTTTAATATTTAGCTCTTCACGTTGTTTTGTATGCAATGTTATTTTGTAAATATAGTTAGGTAGTTAAAAAAAAACTTATCAGATTTCACTTCAATATTTCTTTAGAAAATCAATTAAGTATTTGTAACCCTCTGGTAAGCAGAGAAACTTCAACGATTTAAATCCAATTTTTGTGTGTGAATAAGTACAAGTTAAGGAAAACTGGGTTTTAAATCAACGGGACCAGTTTACTGGTGTTTTAAGTGGGAAAGTAATGTAACTAGTTTATGACACAATGATTACAAACAGGAATTTAGCAAAACCTCAGCTTAAACATGCTTACAAACATGTTTTTTTTCATCTCCTTCCAAACTTGACAAGGATACGTAGGTAATTTAAAATGTGTTACGTGTTGAGGTAAAGTGCATTGTGGTTTGGTGTAAAAATATCGAGTGTTCTGTTTGTGTAAATAGACACAGTGTTTAGAACTTTTTTTTAAATAC